GATGACCACCACTGAACAAGACACACAAGCTGAAACGTCAAGACTGATGTTTCTAAGGTTTTATGGACTGATGAAATGAGAGTGAGTCTTGATGGGCCAGATGGATGGGCCCGTGGCTGGACTGGTAAAGGGCAGAGAGCTCCAGTCCGACTCAGACGCCAGCAAGGTGGAGGTGGAGTACTGGTTTGGGCTGGTATCATCAAAGATGAGCTTGTGGGGCCTTTTCGGGTTGAGGATGGAGTCGAGCTCAACTCCCAGTCCTACTGCCAGTTTCTGGAAGACGCCTTCTTCAAGCAGTGGTACAGGAAGAAGTCTGCATCCTTCAAGAAAAACATGATGTTCATGCAGGACAACGCTCCATCACACGCGTCCAAGTACTCCACAGCGTGGCTGGCAAGAAAGGGTATAAAAGAAGAAAAACTAATGACATGGCCTCCTTGTTCACCTGATCTGAACCCCATTGAGAACCTGTGGTCCATCATCACATGTGAGATTTACAAGGAGGGAAAACGGTACACCTCTCTGAACCGTGTCTGGGAGGCTGTGGTTGCTGCTAAACGCAATGTTGATGGTGAACAGATCAAAACACCGACAGAATCCATGGATGGCAGGCTTTTGAGTGTCCTTGCAAAGAAAGGTGCTATACTGGTCGCTGATTTGTTTTTGAATGTCAGAAATGTATATTTGGGAATGTGGAGATGTTATACTGGTTTCACTGGTAAAAATAAATAATTGAAATGGGTATATTTTTGTTAAGTTGCCTAATAATGATGCACAGTAATAGTCACCTGCACACACAGATATCCCCCTAAAATAGCTACAACTACAAACAAACTAAAGACTACTTCCAAAAACATTCAGCTTTGATATGAATGAGTTGTTTGGGTTCATTGAGAACATGGTTGTTGTTCAATAATAAAATTATTCCTCAAAAATACAACTTGCCTAATAATTCTGCACTCCCTGTAGATGAATAGAATAGAAGCAGAATAGAAAACCCCTTTATTGTCCCTCAGTGGGGAAAGCTTGGAGTCACAGCAGCAACAACCTTCATTACAGGAGCAGAAGGGGAGAGTAAACAAGAATAAACAAGAAAACAGAAATGAGATTCAGATGATTAAACATAAAATCTGCTGTATATTTAAACACTAAAGGAATAAACCTGACAAAAATAATTGAACACCACTGATGTGTGCTTTATCAGAATGGATGTGCACGTGTGTAATGTGCTTATCTGTAGATAAAGGAAAGTGTGCACGTTCACTGTCACGTTTTAGTCAGTTTGGCCCGCGACCTCATTCCCAGGTTTCGTTTTGTCTCGGCATGAGTTTGAGTTCAGCTGCAAGACTCTTCTTCTTCTGTGAACATCTACTGAATGCTGCACACAGAATCATTTACAGTTTAGAGTTCACCAGTAAGCAGGGATGTGGACTCGAGTCACACGACTTTGACTCGACTCATTATTTTAATGACTTCTGAATTGACTTGATAAAATCTATAAAGACTTACGACTTGACTCGGAATTGAATGCCAATGACTTGTGACTTGAATGGACTTGCATCTGTGGACTTGATGACTTGAGCATATTTGATATTGTAGCACAAAAGTGGCGCGACGTGGACAAAACTTGGGTGTGATGTTCTGAACGCAGCAGCTCTGGTTTCACTTTCTGCTGTTAGAGCTCTAAGAATTTATTTATTATCATCATCGTCATTAAAGTAAAGTTGGACAGATGACTTGAAAATTCAAAGTTAACGACTGGGACTTGACTTGGACTTCCACATCATTGACTTTGGACTTGACTCGAGACTTGACTGGAAAGACTTGTGACTTGCAAACCAGTGACTTGGTCACACCTCTGTCAATAAGTAAAAAAATGAACAGGTCTGGGGATGGAAGTGTGGGGCCGCCTGACCCGTAAACTCATCTGTTAAACACTCGCTTACATGTTTAGTCAAACTAAAATCAAAACTCCTTGTCGACTAAAACCTTTTAGAGAATAACTCAAATGCATTTTAGTCATGAAGACTAAAAGATGGCCGCCTAAACCAACGGTAGGGTTACGTTGTTCAGGCCCGGCCTGGACCGACTGGCTGTCCCTGGGGTGCAGCGATCAGGACTGGGGCCTCTGCTCCTCGTTGCTCTGCTGATGAGGACTTTCAAACTCACGGTAAACTCTTAGTAAAGGCCTAGCAAACTGCAAGGCGCGGCTCAGTCCTCACTGAAGCTGCTTTCAGCTCATGTTTGAGTTGCTCTGAGACCCTCGAGTTGCTGCTCTTCAGAGAATGTTAAAGAGGAGGGAAACTAACAATTGGCCCCTTAAAAACTCTTTCACATGACTGGATTCACCTGTGTATGGAGGTCAAGGGTCACTGAGCTTACCAAACCAATGTTGAGCTCCAATAATTGTGTGTGTGAGTGTGTCCTATGTGGTTTATTAAACTGAAACAACCAATGACAAACCTTCCCATCCCACCACATTTATCCATTAACCCTGATGAACCTAATCGGTTGGGTAGATTACAGGCTTGTCTTGAGGACATAAAACATTGGATGACTCTAAACTTTTTGCTTTTAAATCAAGACAAGACGGAAGTTCTCATCTTTGGACCAGAAATCCAGAAAAGGAAATTGCTTAGCCAATCACCTGACCTGAATGGCATTACATTAATCTCTGAGAACAAAGTAAGGAACCTTGGTGTTATCTTTGACCAGGACATGTCATTCAAATCCCAGGTTAAACAGGTTTGTAGGATTTCCTTTTTCCACCTTCGGAATATCGCAAAGATTAGAAGCATCCTTTCATAAAGGGAGCGGCCGTGTTTGTCATCAGAATTAGCTCCACCCACTGACTGATGGGTGAGGTTGACAGAAACAAAGACATTGATGAACAGACCATGAAACCATGAATTAAATCATTTAATAAATACATGTGATTTTTTTTAATGAATGAAATATTTTTATTGACACAATCCATTAATTTTATATTGAAATAATTATTAATGCAGAATATTTTGGGCTTGTCTGTTTATTGAATTGTACCACTGTTGCCTCTCCAGTTGAATCATATTTAATTTCTTTATATTTGATCTTAAAAATCTTATAATTATGTAGATGATGCAGGGATTATAACGTAAACGGCTTTCACAGACCTGGTTTGTATGTATTTAACCTTTCATTATTGTAACAACATACATCAGTATTAGCATCAGAACCACACGGTCCTTTAGACGCAGCAGCGGGGGACCTCATTCTCTCCAGTTAGCACTGAGATGACAAAAGGTGAACTCACTACACTATGAAGTTATTCAGTTTACAAGCTATCACTGGCAGCTGATTCATCTGATAGGACATGTTAGTTATAGTTTGGTGACCTGATTCAGGATCAATTTTGCTTGAATGGTGTCTGTCTGAGATGATAAACAAGTCAGCATGGGGGCCCACCTAGATGGCTTGTACCTAGGGCCCAGAATACGGCCCTGCACGCACGCACGCACGCACGCACGCACGCACACACACACCAGATCTGGGCTAACATCAGATTTTAACCATAGGCACTAGGAGAAGTCCGTGGTGTCTGATTTTGCATCCAGCTGTGTTGTGTCTGGCAGCAATGTGTGTGTGTGTGTGTGTGTGTGTGTGTGTGAGTCGTGGAGGATGGCTGCTTTTACTGAGCCAGGATTCTCTGGAGGTTTCTTCCTGTTAAAAGGGAGTTTTCCTCTCCACTGTCGCTGCATGCTTGCTTAGTATGAGGATTGCTGTAAAGACTCTGACACTAGTCAGTGACTCGATGCCACCTGCTGGGTTCCTCAGACAGGAAACGTGTTACTGACTGGCTTAATGAGCTGACCTGAACTGGGATGTTTACCGTGTTCGAGACGACTCGTCCTGATTTGGCGCTTTAGAAATAAACTGAATTGAACATGAAGACAAATTTGAAAGTTTTGGACGTAGCAGCAATGCGAAGGTTGTTTTCCTCCGTCTCAGCTGACCGCTGACTAAAACAGTCAGAAAGTGTCTGAATGGGTGTTTTCTTTCCATTCTCCAACTATTTTACAAGCAGTTTAGATTTCAGGCCCGGAGGTCGTGGCCTCCCTGGTCCAGCCCTTCTGAGAGGAGGTAGGGTGGGGGAACCTGTCACTGAGAATAAAATCCCCGTCAGCTGAGGAGGTGCAGGCGTGCTCGTACCCCCGTCTACCAGACTAACAGGAACAACCGCCTCCAGCCAGCCGAGCTGCCTTGGGGAGGTCCCACGTGGCAAATATCCTCCTCTCGCTGGAAGCAAACACTCGATCCCACCCTGTGGAGGTCAGCACATCTGTCCAGTCAGTGCAGACAGAGCTCAGCGGTTTTGGTGAGCAGTGAAGCATGACTTTGTTGGAGCTGAATGTTTCTGGCAGCCCATTAATGGCAGGATGGGATGGTCCAGAGGTGCGTTAAGGCTCCTCGGCACCTCTCACAAGCACTGAGCCTCAGCCACTTGCAGCTGCGTGACTGGCTTTCACTCGGAGCGAGGCTGCAGAGGATTAAGGTTCCTGTGAGGCTGCGGCGGTGCAAAACAAGGCTCAGATGGGCTGCTGACCACTTTCAGTACGACAGGATGAACCTCGGCCTTTAGGGGGAAAACAAGCGACCAGACAGGAGGGGACGTTTGGCAGGAAAACCAGGAAGTAGGATGGATGTGAAGTGGGAAGGACAGACAAAAAGGAGAATGCAGTGAGCCGGAAGTCCCGTCGACGTAGAGGAGGGTTTGAGGAAGCCCGTCACTGAGCTGCAGCTTGTTACCTGTGACCCCCCCCCAGGAAGCTGCCTGATGGAAAACTAAAGGAAAACATTCACATTCTCCAGAAAACCCAAACTCATGAATTTCCTTGATTTTCATAGTATTTCTACCCCCCCCCCCCAGAGCTCTTTATCCTCCACAATCTCCTCCAGAGCGACTCTGTTGTCTTTTGTAGAAAAGGAGGACAACATTCAGAAAAAACACTTCCAGAAAAGAGTCCATTGAAACATCTTTATTGAACTTCCAGCCATCAAACATGATCGCAGCGCCGGACACGAAGGAAACGTTTGTGGTCCTGCGCCGGTGAAGCGCGTCAACTAAAGGCAAACGATGGATTCAAGCGAAAGACGACGAGCCTGAAAACAGCAAGTACATTCGGCCTTATGGGGGGAATAATAAACGACTGGAGCCCGACCCTGACCCAACACCACACACTGGCACTCCTACATAAACGAGGCACGTCCTCCATGCACACTGCCCAGGTACCTGTGAGCAAGGCATTGCTACACGCCCTTTTCTGAATATGTTTCTATGTGTTGGGTTTTCTGTCACAATTCCTGTAAAAAGGCACAAACATGATGTTTGAACCAGTCGAACAGAAACGAGAAGCTGCAGGTGGGCTGGTCCTGAACAGCCTGTGTTCACAGACATAGCTTTTACATCAGGACTGACGAGCTAACAGCTAGTTGGAGTGTGTGCGGCTGCTACCTCCCAACTCGGTGCTGTGTTGTGAACCTTCACGCTGCCGTTTGCTCCACATGACAGCTTCAAATCTCACCAGCAGCTGAAAACGCTGACGTTTACTCCTATTTCTGTGATGTCACACTGCTCCAGGTTTGGCGCGTTGGGCCGGGGCTCTGCGGAGAGGTTATCTGGTGAGTCCTGGAAAACCATTTCTCCAAACAGAGGCTGCTCATGAAAACAACAACAAGGGAGATGGCCATGATGTGACCTCGGGACAGAAACATATTCAGAATGAACAAACGTTATTTTAAGGTGCGTCTGCAGAACAGCAGATGTGTTTAACCTCTTCTCAGAAATACCCCCACTCACCACTAGGGGGCTTCAGCAGCCACACAGCATCCGGACGCGCTAGCGGCTCTCCTGGTTCAGGTTCGGTGCTGACGGGACCAGAGGAGAGGGACGAATATAAAAACGACTCAATTACTTCTTTCTATGGGAAATGTTCCCGAAAGCCGCTTTCATGTCTCAGCCTGTGTGGAGCAGCAGCCAATCAGCAGTGAGGACGGGTGTGAGCAGCTGATCCTGGATCAGCTCAAGCTTCTCTTGCCAGAAACTTCCAGTTCTCCCCAAACCGACGGAAGCACAACACACAAGTGAAGCTAATGATTATGTAACAGACGCTTACTGAGAATAAACGGTGCGTGTGTGTGTGTGTGTGTGTGTGTGTGTGTGACGCACAAATGAAACAGCGTGCTGTACCAGAGCAGCCCTGAAGCTGATTAAAGCTACGATAACAAACACCACGTCTGATTGGTTCAGACGCTTCAGCACGTGTCTGACCTCATCATCAGACATTCATGCTAACCCACCTCACTTCCTCCTCTCTCTCTCTCTCTCTCTCTCTCTCTCTCTCTCTCTCTCTCTCTCTCTCTCTCTCTCTCTCTCTCTCTCTCTCTCTCTCTCTCTCTCTCTCTCTCTCTCTCTCTCTCTCTCTCTCTCTCTCTCTCTCTCTCTCTCTCTCTCTCTCTCTCTCTCTCTCTCTCTCTCTCTCTCTCTCTCTCTCTCTCTCTCTCTCTCTCTCTCTCTCTCTCTCTCTCTCTCTCTCTCTCTCTCTCTCTCTCTCTCTCTCTCTCTCTCTCTCTCTCTCTCTCTCGTCAAGAAAAGAAATCACGGTAACAGACAGAACTAATGGATAGCAGACATCCAACATGAAGCCGGTCAGGCAGAAGCTTCGGCATCAAACTGAATGAAGGTGTGTGTGTGTGTGCGTGTGTGCGTGCGTGTGTGTGTGTGTGTGTGTGTGTGTGTGTGTCCAGGAAGCACAGAAACAAATGAGGCTCGGGACACAATAAATAATCAAAAACAGACCGCTTCATACCCCCCCCCCCCCCCCCCCCCGACTGGTGGCCAGAGGCCTGCAGCAGCACTCTGGGAGGGGGAACCCTCCGACAGGCTGTTGCCTTTGAGCAAGGCAGGGCCTGCTCCTGCATCAGACGGCAGCTGATGGAGGGATGGAGATGTGGTGTGGATGAGACACACACAGGTGATCTGGTGTGTGTGACATCTGCTCCCACGAACACGGTGGACCTACAGGCCTTCAGCCAACTAACGGCTTCCCGAAGGAGCGCCACGGAAAAGAAGGAACCTGTAAAGGAACCAAAGCAGTGAAGACTAAAGGGAAACCGATCAGGAAATATCGGACTTCCTCATTCTAGACACCAAAGGGTGGATTTTGTGTCTGAAAGCAGGAATGTTCCCTACACCCCCACAACAGGTGGACAACATTCCCAGTGTCCCAGACCAGTTGTGGGGGTTCCAGATTTCCATGTGAGAGTTTTCCGTCTGATTAGCAGACAGTCACAGCGACCGCTCACGGGGCTAGTGACCCGTCGGAGGTCCGGGTTCACCCGTCCGAGCGCGGACTCATCATGTTTTTGTTCCTTCACACGTTTTCTTTCCCATGGCCCTCCACATTCCCGTGACAGAACCCTGTGAGTCCGAACACCGGTGAGCGTGGATGGGCGCTGAAATGCACAAACAGGAAGTGAGATGGGGTCATGGCGCTGCGGCAGCTGGACAGAAAGTACGGAGCGTATTTACAGAGTTAGGTGAATACATTCAGGCAGCAGGAGGAGGGCTGCCCCCCCCCCCCCCCCCCCGTTCGAGGTATGTTTGGCACTGCTAATGCGCCCATCTCCACACATCGCCATGTCCTTTTGTCTTCAGTGGTCCATCCAGAGCGTCAAACATCTGTTCCTCCTCTGGGTGGGCGTGGCTCTCAGGGGCGTGGCCAGCTCAGCAATACTGCAAAGGTGGTTTTCCGGGACAGGAAGCAGGTCCATCCAGCCCCCTGGAGCCGGTTCAGCATCCTGTCTTTGGTTCAGAAGGCACATGATTGCATTTCTCTACAAACCCTCCTGTGTTCTCCTACATAATCTCTCCAGATGTGGAACCCTGGTGGCGAGCAGGCCTCGCCCATGGCTTCTCCTCTCAGTCCGCTTCCCATCGTCCTCCGGAGGCGGCGGTGGGCGTGAACTCAGATACCTTTGGTGAGATCTGTGATGACGTTGGCCTTCACCAGCTTCCGCAGGAACTCCTTCTCCTTGGAGATGTCGTGTGTCCAAGACTGGAGAAAAGACCAGCAGAAGTAAAACATCACAAGCGTCCATCACAGACCTGCTCTAACCCGTCAGGTGCTCCGGATCTTTATTGTTGACCTACTTTCTAATCAAATGTAACAGTGACTGTACTGGAGGCGGGGCTAAAGGACACCTACAGCTGTTAGTGTTGAAGCAGCAACACCCAGAGCTGCCTCCACCTACTGCTTCAGCTGTTGGAGCTTCACAGCCGTGCCTAGTGAGTACACATCAGAGACGGATAGACGGCCCAGCGAGTGACAAGCGTTAACACGGTTCATAGATCAGACATCCGTGCAGAGACGCCGTGATCTTCTACAAAGCTCACGTGCTGTACGAGAGGAAGTCGTCGGTACCGTCACCAGACCGCCCTGATCAGGAACAGCAAGTCTTGCTCTCTAACAGGAAGGCTGATGAGTTGTGTCGCCTGTAGCTCGTGGGGTCAGTGTGTGTGTTAACTGTGAGGGTCGGCGTCCCTCCCTGCTGCCATGGGAAAATACAGCCCAGCTGACCCAGATGTAATCAGAACCAGGAGTTCCCGGTGCTGCTCTTGGGATGAAAACCTCTGAGACTACGCGCCGGCCGTGGAGGTCAAACACCTGACTGCCGGGTCAGCCAGCGGGTCACAGAGGGGTTGTTTATTAGTGGATGGACCAGGTGGTTCTGGTACACCTTTACCTGAGTTATGACAGTTCTTGGGTTAAATGATCTAGTTTACACTCATGACAACTCTGAGGGGGGTGAATGTTTTTCTCACTCTTCTGTTTAAGTGTATTAAAAGCCTAAAATTCTGTATAATTAATGAGCATCAGACCCACGTGACCACAGAGCTAGCTCCGTGGAAAGGCCTCAGTAGAGCCTCGGTCTGGCCTGGAAACTGCTCCGGGATTTTGAGTCTCTGTGTTTGTGTATTCTTGTTTGGATATTATTTGTGCAACTGTTGGACAAAATGACTTGCTGTGGCATTAATTGCACTAATAGAGCGTCCAAGGAGTCTCCACTTCATTTTTGTCGGTAAGTAAAATTATATTTATGTATTTTAGGTCACTGCCGAGCTGAGCTTAGATTTTAACATGTACTGTTTAACCATGAAATGTAAATGTAATAGGGTAAAACCCAGTGCATTTAACATAATGCTGCACTTTAGAAAATGGGTTGAAATAGAACATGTTGGTGGAGCTGGGTTCCCACTATCGGCTTGTGGAGCTCTCGGGAGACCTCTGTGTTCCACCCGGTTGTACCCAGCGGTCAGCCCGGTGTATCTCTGACTCAGAAGCTCCGGTGTTGTGCAAAGTTAACTCCGGTTGTAGCTAGGTTGCTACCTCCGTTAGCTTAGCTCCCACCTCCGCGTTAGCTTTGGGTTAGCTTCAGGTTAGCTTGTAGCTAGTTCGACCGGGTGTCATCAGTTGATCCCAGCCTTACAGCCCCACCCTCAGCTCCTCCTCTCTTCCCTTTTATGGAATTGTCTGGGCTTGACGGAACCTGTGACACGGTCAAAATGGCGGTGGTGGCCACCTCCCATTTAGCCTCAAAAACGTGATATTGGAGTCTATGGAAAGGAGATGTCCAGTATATTGATGTCGATGGTTCTACCAGACCTCCTTGGCCTGTGCATGTCTCCGTGTCACCGGTTCACCAGGTAAGTACCGTAATGACCCGAATATAGGACGAGGTTCGTTCATCTAAATCGTTGTAAAATGTGGAGTCGTCTTCTAACAGGGTCTTCTTAAACCGGGTCGTCTCATAACCGGGTCGTCTTAAACTGGGTCGTCTTATAACTGGGTCGTCTTCTAACCGGGTCATCTCATAACTGGGTCGTCTTATAACTGGGTCTTCTTAAACCGGGTCGTCTTAAACTGGGTCGTCTTATAACTGGGTCGTCTTCTAACCGAGTCATCTCATAACTGGGTCGTCTTATAACTGGGTTGTCTTATAACCGGGTCGTCTTATAACTGGGTCGTCTTATAACTGGGTTGTCTTATAACTGGGTTGTCTTATAACCGGGTCGTCTTATAACTGGGTTGTCTTATAACCGGGTCGTCTTATAACTGGGTCGTCTTATAACTGGGTTGTCTTATAACCGGGTCGTCTTATAACTGGGTTGTCTTATAACCGGGTCGTCTTATAACTGGGTTGTCTTATAACCGGGTCGTCTTATAACTGGGTTGTCTTATAACCGGGTCGTCTTATAACTGGGTCATCTTAAACCGGGTCGTCTTCTAACCGGGTCGTCTTATAACCGGGTCGTCTTCTAACCGGGTCGTCTTATAACTGTGTTGTCTTATAACCGGGTCGTCTCATAACTGGGTCATCTTAAACCGGGTCGTCTTCTAACCGGGTCGTCTTATAACTGGGTCGTCTTCTAACCGGGTCGTCTTATAACCGGGTCATCTTAAACCGGGTCGTCTTCTAACCGGGTCGTCTTCTAACCGGGTCGTCTTATAACTGGGTCGTCTTCTAACCAGGTCGTCTTATAACCGGGTCGTCTTCTAACCGGGTCGTCTTCTAACCGGGTCGTCTTCTAACAGGGTCGTCTTCTAACAGGGTCATCTTAAACCGGGTCGTCTTAAACCGGGTCGTCTCATAACTGGGTCATCTTAAACCGCGTCGTCTTCTAACCGGGTCATCTTCTAACTGGGTTGTCTTCTAACTGGGTCGTCTTCTAACTGGGTCGTCTTATAACCGGGTCGTCTTATAACCGGGTCGTCTTATAACTGGGTCGTCTTATAACTGAGTTGTCTTATAACCGGGTCGTCTTATAACTGGGTCGTCTTCTAACCGGGTCGTCTTCTAACAGGGTCATCTTAAACCGGGTCGTCTCATAACCGGGTCATCTTAAACCGGGTCGTCTTCTAACCGGGTCATCTTCTAACTGGGTTGTCTTATAACTGGGTCGTCTTCTAACCGGGTCGTCTTATAACTGGGTCGTCTTCTAACCGGGTCGTCTTGTAACCGGGTCGTCTTATAACTGGGTCGTCTTATAACTGAGTTGTCTTATAACCGGGTCGTCTTATAACTGGGTCGTCTTCTAACCGGGTCGTCTTCTAACAGGGTCATCTTAAACCGGGTCATCTCATAACCGGGTCATCTTAAACCGGGTCGTCTTCTAACCGGGTCATCTTCTAACTGGGTCGTCTTCTAACCGAGTCGTCTTATAACCGGGTCGTCTTCTAACCGGGTCGTCTTCTAACCGGGTCGTCTTATAACCGGGTCGTCTTATAACCGGGTCGTCTTCTAACAGGGTCATCTTAAACCGGGTCGTCTTAAACCGGGTCGTCTCATAACTGGGTCATCTTAAACCGGGTCGTCTTCTAACCGGGTCATCGTCTAACTGGGTCGTCTTCTAACGGGGTCGTCTTATAACTGGGTCGTCTTCTAACAGGGTCGTCTTATAACCGGGTCGTCTTCTAACAGGGTTGTCTTCTAACTGGGTCGTCTTCTAACCGGGTCGTCTTATAACCGGGTCGTCTTATAACCGGGTCGTCTTATAACCGGGTCGTCTTCTAACAGGGTCATCTTAAACCGGGTCGTCTCATAACCGGGTCATCTTAAACCGAGTCGTCTCATAACCGGGTCATCTTAAACCGGGTCGTCTCATAACCGGGTCATCTTAAACCGGGTCGTCTTCTAACCGGGTCATCTTCTAACTGGGTTGTCTTCTAACCGGGTCGTCTTCTAACCGGGTCGTCTTCTAACCGGGTCATCTTCTAACTGGGTTGTCTTATAACCGGGTCGTCTTATAACTGGGTTGTCTTATAACCGGGTCATCTTATAACTGGGTCGTCTTATAACTGGGTTGTCTTATAACCGGGTCGTCTTATAACTGGGTTGTCTTATAACCGGGTCGTCTTATAACTGGGTTGTCTTATAACCGGGTCGTCTTATAACTGGGTTGTCTTATAACCGGGTCGTCTTATAACTGGGTCGTCTTATAACTGGGTTGTCTTATAACCGGGTCGTCTCATAACTGGGTCATCTTAAACCGGGTCGTCTTCTAACCGGGTCGTCTTATAACTGGGTCGTCTTCTAACCGGGTCGTCTTATAACCGGGTCATCTTAAACCGGGTCGTCTTCTAACCGGGTCATCTTCTAACTGGGTTGTCTTATAACTGGGTCGTCTTCTAACCGGGTCGTCTTATAACTGGGTCGTCTTCTAACCAGGTCGTCTTATAACCGGGTCGTCTTCTAACCGGGTCGTCTTATAACCGGGTCGTCTTCTAACAGGGTCATCTTAAACCGGGTCGTCTTAAACCGGGTCGTCTCATAACTGGGTCATCTTAAACCGCGTCGTCTTCTAACCGGGTCATCTTCTAACTGGGTTGTCTTCTAACTGGGTCGTCTTCTAACTGGGTCGTCTTATAACCGGGTCGTCTTATAACCGGGTCGTCTTATAACTGGGTCATCTTATAACTGAGTTGTCTTATAACCGGGTCGTCTTATAACTGGGTCGTCTTCTAACCGGGTCGTCTTCTAACAGGGTCATCTTAAACCGGGTCGTCTCATAACCGGGTCATCTTAAACCGGGTCGTCTTCTAACCGGGTCATCTTCTAACTGGGTTGTCTTATAACTGGGTCGTCTTCTAACCGGGTCGTCTTATAACTGGGTCGTCTTCTAACCGGGTCGTCTTCTAACCGGGTCGTCTTGTAACCGGGTCGTCTTATAACTGGGTCGTCTTATAACTGAGTTGTCTTATAACCGGGTCGTCTTATAACTGGGTCGTCTTCTAACCGGGTCGTCTTCTAACAGGGTCATCTTAAACCGGGTCGTCTCATAACCGGGTCATCTTAAACCGGGTCGTCTTCTAACCGGGTCATCTTCTAACTGGGTCGTCTTCTAACCGGGTCGTCTTATAACCGGGTCGTCTTCTAACCGGGTCGTCTTCTAACAGGGTCATCTTAAACCGGGTCGTCTTAAACCGGGTCGTCTCATAACTGGGTCATCTTAAACCGGGTCGTCTTCTAACCGGGTCATCTTCTAACTGGGTCGTCT